CTTGGAGAAAAGGAGACTGAGGGGTGACCTCATTAATGTTTACAAATATGTAAGGGGTGAGTGTCAGGGGGACGGAGTTAGGCTTTTCTCGGTGATGACCAGTGATAGGACAAGGGGTAATGGGTGTAAATTGGAGCATAGGAAGTTCAAGGTGAATATCCGAAAAAAATTTTTTACTGTGAGAGTGACAGAGCACTGGAACAGACTGCCCAGGGAGGTTGTGGAGTCTCCCTCACTGGAGACATTCAAAACCCACCTGAATGAGTTCCTGTGTGATGTACTCTAGGTGACCCTGCTCTGGCAGGGGGGTTGGACTAGATGATCTCTCGAGGTCCCTTCCAGCCCCTAAGATTCTATGATTCTATGATTCAGAAATGGGGAAGCCCAGGTATAACTGATATGTGTACTTCACTTGGCAGGGAATGGCAGTGACTGGCAATGAGATGTCCTGAGCTGTAGTCATTCCTCAGCATCCAGCCCAGGGATTCAAATACAGCACTGAGCCACAGGAAGCACTTAGAGGTATTCAGCATCTGCCCCAGGGCTGGCTGAGAGGAGACAGCATCATCAGAACCCTCACAGTGTGGTCCAGCTCACAAGGTCTCCCGTAAGTGTAAGAACAGGTAGCCAGGTCATCTCCATTATGTGCCCTCACATTTCACAGACCACATTGTGGTTTACAAGCCTCTAATAAACTTAAGACCTTCATTACAAAAAGGAGTAAAACCTTAATTATGGCATTGTGCACAGGACAGAAGACCAAGCACACCAATATTTTGCACCCTTGCAGAAACAGCCAATTGAAATGGTGCTGCATTTGCTGGGGCAACTGGTATGTGATCACTTACCCTGATACAACCTGCACTGGTGACATAGGGAAAGGCTCAATTCTAGCTCAGGTTTGATCTTGTTTAGAACATCATGATGAAAAGACTAAAGCACTGAATGCACACTGATGTTTTCTAGCCCAGGTACAAGTGAATGCAGAGGGTGGGAGATGGTTTGCTGGTGTCAGGCAGCGTGGAGACAGGCTGGGGCTCCTGCTAGCTGCTTTCAGGACATACAGCTCGTTTGCTCTGGACTGCTTGGGAACCCCTTGCTTCCTCATTGCATTTTGCTATTTGCTTCTGCCATTTCCTTTTCTTCCTGATTTTAAAGCTATAAGCTTTTTAAGCTTTCTGTGCAATTCATTTGTTGTCTGTGTGTCAGATCTTTCAGTTAAGCCTTGTTCTCTGCAAAGACATGTTCCATTGCTATTTTTTATTTGAATGTCTCTCACCAATCTTGTACCATACACAGTTTAGACTGCTGCCTGGGTTTTAAATATATCCAGTCAGTAGCTTTAAAGGTGGGTTTTATCACAGGAATAATAAAAGTGAATGTTAGGTGTTAAAATAATAAGTTCAACCTTAAGGGCATTGTCTATTTTCTTTCTCTTTCCAAACCAAATGCAATACTTGTGAGAAAGCAACAGCCCATCTGAACTCCAATTTACATGCTCCAAGGTAGAAAGAAACACTTCACTGAGATTGGAAAATTACTCTCTAAAAACAAATTAAGTAACTAATAGCTTGAGGGATCACTGCATAGATGAAAGGATTTCTGTCATTGGGTGTCAGATGTATTTGCATGATTCCTCGGTGGCTTACAATTTGTATACGTATTTGTACAATATAAGCTTTCTAGAGACATTGCTTTGCTGTGGGATAATTTGGTAAGAAACTGTTCTTTGTGGTGTGGTGGTATGTAAGACACAGAACAGGCATGGAAAGCACCTGGAAGGTCTTGGCAAAAGGAAGGAGCTGCTTCTCTGTTCTTTGTGGCCAGCACCTAAAAATGATCTGTGGGCCCCTACCTGAGCTAACTGCTTGCACCTACCACTTGCACCTCAAAAAAGGAACCTGCTTGATTCCTCCTGCCAAAGAGGGGGTCCTTCCCTGAAAATGTAGTATTTTAGCACCAGTTCCTTCAGTGGTTGGAACATTGGGGAGCCCTGGTCCATGTTTCTATCCAGAGGATGTTGGAGGAGCAAGTGATCCAGGGAGCCGAGGGAGGTTAGCTCCCCCACTCACACATCCAAAGTCTGTAGGGGGGAGAATATCTCCCCTGCTAAGGAAGAGCTGGATCACACCAGGTGCCAAGCAGCTCCTAGTGAAAATTATTACTACCAGTTCACAGTATAGTGAATAGCTATTTTTAATGAATCAGAGAAAACAGGACCTTGAGGCTAGATGGTACCTGAGGGTCACAGAGCACACCTGCCTCCCCTTGGATAATGTTTACAGGTGTTGCCCTACTTGAAGCATCTGTACCACAGATGTTTAGGTATTTGAGGAGGGATTGACAAAGCCCTGCAATAGCCTGATAGCAGGTCTGCTGCTCCTTCGGCTGCTGTGTGGAGGGCAGCAGGTGGAGCCAGGAACTGCTTAGGGCAGGACTTCCCAGGCTGGTGCTCCCCAGAAGGCACCTTATTAGTCCCAAATTTCCCAGGTGCTATCTTCAACAAGCCTTGTTCCCTGGGGTGTTTCAGGCCTGTTTCACTTTTCTGGCATAAGCAATAAAAATCAAACCATCTAAAGAATTTAAAAATATATATATTCTGGAGCATCCTCTGCTCGTATCGTTGGGAAATCTTGGGATCCTGTGTGAACCAGCTCCTCCATGCCTTGACACGACACATCGTACTTGGAAAAGTACTTTGAAGACAACTCAGAGTTAATCCTTTACAGCAAATTAGCTTGCTGTGTGATGGCAAACACGGACACCTAGTGGTACTCGAGTGCAGGGCATGTAGATGCTTTACATTTCTCCCTGGAAGAGTAGATACAGCAGACGGCTCACGTTTTCCCCTGAAAGGAGAGATTTGATTATTTTAAGATAAACTATCGTAGATAGCCTCGTGTGGGAGAAAGAAAATTAACTTGGCAAGGAGTAGTGAAAGAATTAGGGGGAAATCATCACACTTGGTAAGATTTGTGAGTGTATTTAGCAAGAAGTAATCAGGTTTTTTCTTGTGTCTTAAATATCTCATACCATACAAGATCAGATACCACTTTGGATCAGAAAGATTTTCTGCTGCTAAATTAGTCCATAGCAAAGAAATCTGAGTAAATGTTACAGCAATATCTTATTCTTACCATACCTGGGAATGTTCATACTCCAGTTTTGGAGAGGTTATGCCAGCATGATGAATGGTGGGTTTGCTGGTAACCTGCATAGCTGGGTGCTAAACTGATCTCTCGTGCACTTTCTTCAACTCACTGAGCTCTTTCTGCCAGGATGAATGCGAGCTCTCTGACTGAATGGCCTCAAACAGCTGCCATGGTTTGTCTTGTTTGGTGTTTTTCTATTTATTTACAAATAATCTTTCAGAGAAATATTTCCTTCTTCTTCCCCAAATCTAGCATTTCGTCTACGGCAGAGACACAGGACAGGTGAGAACCAGTCCTTGTCCACTGACCCCTTTCTGTAATTGTAAATATCACCTCTGTGAATGGCATTGCTTTCACACCTGCACTAGACACACAAACCACTGTGCCACTGAGTGGGGAGGCAGTCTGTTCCCATGGGAGTGTGTGTTCAGGGCTGCTTGGGCCAAGATAAGGGATTTTAAGATTGTACCAGCTGGAGAATCAGGTCTGTAGAGATGAGTGAGCTCTCCTCTAGGGCTCCCACATTCAAACTGATAAGTAGATCCCAGCTCTCCCTGATTTCACAGAGATGCTCAACATCTTACGAAATTTCTCCCAATTCAGTTGGATTTAGAAGTTGTTCTTTTACAAACATTTTTCTTGGGTTTAGCTTCATATCATCAGAAATAGGGAACTTTGAGGTATTACACTCTTTTAAATTAGGTTGTTTACTACATTCATCTTAATAACTTTTGAATCAGAGGGCTAATTTCTGTCAAATTTGATGCTGCAAGAAGGACCTCAAAGATTCCTGCACACTTCAGGGAGGGAGGCAGCAGGTAGAGGAGAAAGACCCAAAAGAGGGCCCCTCATGACAGGCAGACAGCAAGAATCCCACACTGCAGAGGAGCATTAAGAAAGATTCCTCACACCAGTAAAATTTAGACGTCTACTCACACCTCTTTGGACACCAAGAATTAATCTCTGAGATCCAAATCTGTAACAAAACAAGCTTCATTGGCTCTACTGCCTGTGCAGTCACTTTTTCTGTTTTGTTCTGCTGTATACACAAGAACCTATATATCTGGTCTCTGGTTATATAGAGACTGTCATTAAACAGAGACCATTATTGCTCATCAAGAGTCCCAGGGTGTGAAGCTGAAGCAAAGCAGCAGGTTGCCAGTGCTCAGTACGGAAGTAAGAAGATACATTTATTCTTAGATACAAATCCTGGAAGTCAGCATATAATCAATCACTCTACGTTTATATATTTACACCTCTGCTTTCCATCAGAGAGCATGGGAGGAGCTTTTCTGATCTGCCTGGTCAGGATTCCCTAGTCTCCCAAGAGGTCCCTAGAGTGCATTTGGGAAGATGAGGGCATGTTTCTTGTCTTGCAAAAAAAATAAAATTAGCTGTTTCCTCACTGCACTGGTGGCTTGTGGGAATGTGTCTGGGCTGTGCTGTAGAGGGATGACCTGGAATTTGTCCTGCCATGATGGCACAGTGCCAAGGCAGCCTTGGGCTATTACCTGTCTAGAATGTCACCCCAGAAACTAAAGCAAGAAAAACCACAGGTTTTCTGCTGGAAACCCACAGCTAGAAAATTCACCCACAGCTAGCATTCAAAGGGTTAGTGGGTGGGTAGCTTTGATTTCTCACTTCAGCTCAGCACAATCAATAAGAAGTAAAGGAAACCAGGGTTACAACACATTGAACTTTGACAAAAGAAATTATTAACTTGGCTTCTAAGGAATACAAGTCCTGTCTTTGCCAGTGTAAATATGATGCAAAGATGATTGCCTTCATCCTGCCCTGTCTGACTTCTCTTCCTCTTCTTTTTTTTTTCGTTCTGTTGAACCTGGGCAGTTGTCTGGAGGGTGTGAACTAACCGTGGTGCTCCAGGACTTCACAGCAGGCCACAGCAGTGAGCTGAGCATTCAGGTGGGGCAGACGGTGGAGCTGCTGGAGAGGCCCAGCGAAAGGCCAGGCTGGTGTTTGGTCCGGACCACAGAGCGGAGTCCCCCGCAGGAGGGTCTGGTCCCCAGCAGCGCTCTCTGCATTTCCCACTCCCGCAGCAGTGTGGAGATGGATTGCTTCTTCCCTTCAGGAAAAGGTAGGCAACAGTCCAGCAGGTTTAAGACTGCTTCAGATTTCCCCTCTTGTATCGTGTAAGTGCAAAGCTGCTTGGGCTGCTCTTGCGGTCGGTGTGGGTACAAGACTGTTCAGTCCTTAGTGAGTTTTGTTCCCAGACCTCTGTGAAGTGACACAGCACTTGCCTGACTCCATTTCCATGAATCAATGTCTGTACATGTGCGTCTTTCGCTGTGTGGCAGTCGTTCTTGTCTGGAGATTCTGGGTGAAAAAGACCTTTATACAACAAAGGGACTGGTGGTGGCCAGAAAACCCAGAGGGAGGGAAAGTCATGTTGTGTATACACCCAGGCTGCCCCAAATTCTGGTTCTATTATTTTCTGAGTGCCACAGTGCACACTAATGCGTGGTCTTTTCATTTATCCCTGCTGCCTGTCTATTATTGTAAACAAGCAACCAGTGAGTACTGGTATACTCTGCTGACTTGTGAACTGGAGACATGGTGTGTAATGGCACAGCTCAGTGGGGAAAGAATCCTTTAGAGTTGTAAAGCGTGCAACAAAAATACCCATCCCAGGTACTATCCTGAGAGCTTGGGCTTCCCCTGAAATGAGTGGTGTTTGTCTCTGTGGTGTCTGTGGCCTATTTAGTGGATGTTCTGTTCCAAGCAATGTGTGTCCCACATATAGTATCCATGCAGACAGGCCTAGGATGCCCTCCAGATGGATAATCCAGAACCGGTTCAGTTCAGCATGGCCACAGCAGGTCTCCTTTGGGTTGTGCCCCTGCTTTTGCCCACACACAGTGCAAGAAAGGGCAAGGGAGGAAAGGCTCCTGTCATCCCACTCCCTACTTCAAGCCTCCAAACTGAGCTGGCTTTTTAAAAAAAAAGAAAAATTCCCTCTGCATTAAGGCAAATAGAATTTGATCCGTTCTTGTTTGAGCAAGTTAAGCTTGGTGGTGATGTTTGTTTTGAGAAAAAGCATTGAAGCCAGGCTGTAGTCCATCCTTAATCCCTTCCTGCACTCCAACAGTGGAGGCTGGGAGTGGGACACTTCCCCAGGACACAGCAGCACTGTAGGGCCGGGCTCTACAGTCAGTTTCCCTGAAGAGCTGTCTGATCCAAACCCAGGGGAGGAGAGTTGAGCTTTTCCTCTCAGATTTGATCCCTTCAGCAGGTCTCATTTGGTTAGGTGCTTTCCTTGCCCTGCTTGACAGGAGAGAGGAGGGGAGGCCAGTGCTGGCTGTCAGCTCTGCCTGCAGTGCAAACTCCAAACTCCTCACGTGCTTCTTAGACCTACTGTTGACTCTCCTCCTTGCCTCACATCCTGCTTGTGCTGCCAGAGGAGCCTGTCCTGGTCCTCAGCTGTCCTCTGAGAAGCATGGCAGTGGCTTACATGCAAATTAAATCTGCTGAATAAATAGAAGGGTAGAGCTGAAAATGAGTCTGGTCTGCATAAGAGTAGTCACTGGCTGACATGACTCATAGGAAGCCAGAGACATGTCTGCTGGGTGCATGGTCCAGCAGTTGGGCTTGGGTCCTCTGCTGAAGGATGCTGTGAGATGCCACTCAAACCTTATTTGAGTGCTCTCAGTTGAAAAGTTTCTCCTCAAATAAGGGAAAACCAAAAAAATTGCAGGAGTAGGCTGTGGAAAGGGAGGCAGGAAATCCGGAGGGGGATGACGACAGGGTGGTTGAGGGACTGAGGGCTGCCAAGGCACTTAGGGGCTCTGCTTCCTGCACGATTGCATGAGCTTCAGAGCACAGTTGCACCACGGGTGTGGCACAACAGGCACAGGCTGTAGCTGCTGGACCGGAGCTGACTGATGCCTGGAAGCCACCAGGCTGTACCAGCACAGCACCCAGGCACTTTGCCTGCCTGTGGGGCAGCTTCTCTCACATAACACACTGCAACTTCTTCCAGGTTGGAGCTGGCTCTTGCCCCATCATCTCCAAACAGGTGCAGAGTGAGTCTGGGGCTGACTGGCTCCAGCCATGTATTCACAGCCTTTATTTCCTCACATCTCTTTGGCCTCAGTGTTCTTCCTGCACATACCAAAGCGGTATCAAAGAACCACAGCATTAATGAGATCTCCAGAAGTGCTTCTAGAAATAATAAAAATAACCACCCAGGCCACAATTTTGGCCAGAGGACAGCAAATAGGTCCTGTGTCTAATCAGCTCTCCCTCTATTAGGAAAACAGGACATTGTTTAAACTGAATGAACAGATGCTGAGAATCAAGACAGAGGGGTAAGTTTAAAGGGGAAATGCAGTAGCCACTGGAGGAGCCTGCTGATGGCAGGAGATGTTGGAAGGATTACCATTATTAATGGTTTCAGATTATTCAGATTTGTGTCCTTCTCTACTGTCAGTAGCTTTAGGCAAAAATTCCTTGGTCCAGGCTACGAACATTTCTGGCCTTTATTTGCAACCCAGAATGAAGGCTGTTACCTTGTATATCAACATCAAATGGTTGATGTTGATGTTGATGTATTTCAAGTATGTAAACACAAAGTTGCAGAAGAGAAAGTTAATAGCTGAATTTTACATGAAATTGCCAAGACACATAATTCTTTGTTTTTACAAGCACTGTAATTTCAAGAAGAGAAGGCATCTATGCTCAAAACTTAACATTTCCAATGATGGAATTTGCCAGATATGATAGAAACATGCAGAGTTTTGTCAAGTATTAATACACAGTTACATCTGCTTATGTGGGAAATGGCAAATTACTATTAGGTCCTATTATAATTTATGGTGGACTATAAATGTAGATCATGAGGCTCACAGAAGCTACCTACCATCCTTAAAATGAAGGGTAAAGAAAGTAATATGTCAGCCAATACCCGAACAGGTGATGGCTTGAAAGATTTGGTGGAATCACCAGAACATTTTGTAGAGCATCGATGCAAGTCCTCATCAAACAGAAAAATGAGGCTTTTTAAACAGCTTACCTGAAAGCCACTGGAAATGCAAAACCAAAGTTCACAGCTGAACATGTACTCTGTCTCCTCCTCACTTTTTTACACTATTCCTTTGAAAACAGATACTGAATTAACATAAAATGTTGCAAAAGGAAAAATTGTCCTGCAATAAGAGGATGCTTCTTACCTTTTGTAATTAAATATCTTTACAGGTTTCTCTTGTTGATTAGTAGAATTGCAGAGACTTTAAGGACTGGTATCCCAGCCTTCCATTTGCCTCCTGGCCATGTTCCTTTGGAGGATACACATTTGATTCTTTTAATGACTTGACTACAGCTCAAAGCCTGTCCTTCCTTTCCCATAACTTGACAATGTTTGCAATTACCCAAAAAGGCAAATAGGTTTCTGGGATTCACCTTTTGCAAGTGATTTACAGATGACTGAGTAAAAGGAACTTGTCTGCAGTCTCTGTTACTGTACTCGAGAATTTATGGGATGTCTTTTATTCTGACTAATGTTCCTAGGAAGGAAGAAGAAAGACCTAGGAATGAAGCTCTGTTTGAACTGTCCCACGTGGCTAATTACAGGAAAGCTATGACTTTTATTCCTATCTCTGTTACCCTGTAATTGAGCTCTAAGGTATTAAATTTCAAATTAAGAGGGAAATCCACATGGATGGAAAGCAACTTAATGACCTAGCCAGTATTCATTAAGTGCACTGTGACAAGTGTATTCCTGGTGTCAGCCTGTTAACTTTGATGGAATTATTTCAAACTTCAGTTTGGCCCTTGCAACATTTTTATGAAATCTTGATCTTACGACTCCTCACTCAGCATTTTTCTTGTAACATCAAAGTCACAGTGTAATTCAAAGAGTAACAAAAGCTAGTTATTGCAGTAATTTTAACCAACCTCCATCACGAAAGGGATTACAAGGAAAACAGGGGTTCATGACACTTATTTTGGACTGATGATATGAGAATGGATCCTGTTCAGGGCCCCAGACTGGATCCTACCCGCAGGATGCTTGTGTCTGGTACACAGCTCTGGAGGAGAGGAGGAAAATATTTTTTTAAGATGCTCTACAAACATCTTGCTACACAGGCAGATGACCATTTAACAGCAGGGCTTTGGTGGCAGTGGTGGGTCCTTATAACAGAGCCCACTGAGAAACAGCTGGGTCTCTTCCAGCTGAAGAGGGAACATAGGTCTCACAAGGTGTGTGTTAGCAGGATGAGCATCTTGCCTGCTGAGTCACATTGTCCCTGGTGCATCAGCTGGGATAGCACCAGACTTTGGGCAAGAGGGAGAGGACTTTCAGTGCTGCTCAATGACAGCTTGTACATTTAGGGGGTCTCCTACCCAGTGCTGCAGCCAGAGAGAGCCTGTGGCTGGTGGGTGTGATGGCAAGCTGGGCTGGGAAAGAAGGAAGCAGAATAAGGATTTAACGAGGCTGGTGAGAAAAATAATGGTATCAGTGAAAAAGGGGTCACACTGACACCTGAGTTTTCTGACCACTCTGTGTGAGAAAGAGTAGATCATTTAATGGATTAGTGTGCAAAGCTGGTGATGCTACTCCAGTTTGTTGGGGTGGAAAGTCTCTTTCCTTCAGTCCCTGATCTCAGAAGAGTGATCTGTATAGGGAAAGGCATAATTGTTTCTTCCCACATCTCTGTTTTTCAGATTATCTTGGATTTTAGTGGGGGAAAGAG